CGGTAGTATATATATATATATATATATATATATATAGATAGTAAAGATATAAATACTATTAAGAAACAATGTTTTATTAGAATATACACACACTTTGCTTTTAATTTTTTCATTCATATGTATTATTATTTATTAATCTTATTTAATATTCTTTTTCTAAAAACAATATAAATTATTTCCAATCTTCAAAAAATGATGGAAATAATCTATATAATATTTCAATATGTCTATATAAATTGGTGCTAGATATATATGTCTAGTAATAATTAACTTTGCATCTAAAAATCTATTACGTTCCGAATATCAAATACTTAGCACGAATAAGAGTCAAAGGATCAAAAGCGTAATTTGCTCTAAATTTAGGACTGTGCCCAATCCATCGACCAAGAGTTTCCAAACTAAAATTTAATGAATTTTCTGTATAAGGAAAAACTAAAATATTAAAATTACGAGAATATTAAATAATTATTACATCCTCTTTATTTAATTTAAAGAAAGATTAAATCATCATCTTTCTATAAATTTGTATGTAACTAGATTTCTCATACATGACATATTAATCAGTAGAACATGAAATTTCAATTATTCATCTAGTTTTTGATCAATCTATGATATGATTGATCTAAAAATAAAATAGAAAATTTTTTCGATATGTACAATAGACTCTTTTTCTCTCTCTTTCTAAAAATTAGAGAGACACGATATTAATTAAGATGAAAAAAGAAAACAAGTTTGGAAACCACTGGCACATCAAAAAGTATGAAAATAATCAGTATCAGACAAAACATACAATTATTTGTAGAAATCTCGCTAGTGGACCGAAACAGTTGAGCTATTTTTCGTTTCGATCTCTCGAAGATTTTTGTTTCACGCGAAATCTTTCCTAGTTAGACATTTTTCGAGTTAGACATTCGCATTTGTGGTATCCAATTCTTGAAATTCGTACATTTCCTCTTTTTTCCGTCGTTCGCAAAGTAATAAAAGTAATCTTGTATCTTATAATTATACCAATTATGTCTGGCATATGTTACGTTATTGTACCATCTTAGCAAATTTTGTTAATTTCAGTTCATATCATCTTTTCGTTTCATTTATCTTTTTAATTAAACTTTCTTCATTCCAATCATGTTCAAATTTAACATATAGCATAGAAAAAGAAATCGATAAACGAAAGTTAATGTTGATCATTAGTATCGATATTTGTTGTAAAATGGAACTAATTGATCTATTGATCGTTTTACCTTGTTTTTCATCAATTTGTAACAGGTCTAAATAGATCCTATGTAACAATCTCGTAATATTCATTGTGATCTGATTATGCGCGATTGCGCCGCGTGATGTGTGCTTTGTGAAATTCGGCTTTTGCATTACGACACGATCGATTGATGCAATTGTTCCCGTGTATTAACACAATTCTTATGTTCTTCCCCGGAAATCGATAAAAGCCAGTAAAACATTGAGGCAATACGGTGATTACCACTTATTGTCCACTCGAGTGCGTGCTGTAAAGTGTGCATACAAGCTTTGCATCGTCTGCATCAATTTTATCGATGATATGATCAATATATTAAACTAAATATCTCAATTGCATTAGCAACAGTTGAAATCGATAAAAAGTAATAAATTTAAAGCCTTACAAGATCGTAAAGTTGCAATATGTTTTTTCTATCCATAATGTTTTTCTGCAATTATCAAATTCCAAACTAATAATTTCAAAATCCATTTTTGTTGAAAATAATAAAATAAATTTAAATTGTACAACCGTTGATTAATTTCATTTCTCTATATTTTCATAAACTTACAAAACGATTTGTGTTGTGATAATAAGAAATTTGAAATAAAAGATTTATAAATATAAACGCAATTTATAAATACGTTAATAAACACATTTGGATGGATGCACCAGTTGAATAGTGATTTGAATTTTATCAAACTTTCAAGGATCCTCGAGTGCTACAATAATTCTTGCGATAAATGATGTTCACGATATATTAAACGATCGATTACATATGCCGATCGAAAGGACATTTCGAACGAAGTGCAACATGATTCGATGATTTATCTAGCTTATGCCGAATCATTGTTCGATGACGTGATAACGATGGAAGTTCGATGAAAAAGAAAACTGCTTGAGTCCACTGCGACGACAATTCACGTTACCCAGAATATTCATTTCGCAATATGTCTACGTGGAAACCAAATTTCAATATACTTTTTAATCGCAACATCCGTTTCACTATATTTCAAATGAAATGAAATGAAATGAAACTTGAAAAAAGTCTGTAATTATATATTTTGTTTCGTTTCATTTAACTTTCGTTTAAGTAATTTGAAGAAAATAATAGAGGAACGAAAGGATAAAGATTTAATAATCTGAATCAATTAAATAACGAGACTCGTGCTATATTGCGTACACACAACACATACACACACACACACACACACACACACACACACACACGCAC